AAAAGAAATATACTGGTTCTACAGTTTTACATCTGTATCTAGAATTTAATCGGATAATTGTTACTGAATGCCAGAATGGTAAGATTTTTAATTAAAAATTTTATTTAGTCTACTTTACATAATTATTTAATTTTCTGTACTTGCTAAACAGAAGAAATTCTACCACTGTAATATACTCCGGCAGACATCTTTCAAGTTTCTGCTTGTTCTTCTACAGGTATAATTATTTTCATCTGTAAAGAGTAAAGAATTAAAATAATACATCCGTTTCTGGACCGAAGACTAAATGGCAGAAGCTTATGAGTAAGCTATCGATTTCTGAAAGGATATTGGAAGAAAGGAAGAGTGATGCTTGATGAAGGAATAATTAAGAAAGTTTTAATGCTGATTACAGAATTTCCTGGATAGAAGAAACTTAATAATTATCACTGCAAATAAGTTTGTTTCATTATCTAATAATAACTTGTATAAGCTTATTTATAACCACGAATACATTTTATAAATTTAGATAAAGATAATATTAAGAAGTATGAATTTATAATAAGAAAGATTTTCGTCGTTTAAGTATAGAAGTATAAATTTGTGTAAATAAATAATTATTTAATGCTTATATATTAGGCCGTTGAATAAGTAATGCCTCCTTGTAAATGGTTCGCGCAGAAGTTGCTTAGCAAGCAATTAAAAAAATAATTCTTTGCTTCTTTAGTTACATTCTAATGCATGGTAGAATATGAAACGTGTTTTAGTTGAAATTTCATTGTTTAAAAAGTAACATCCAGTTAAGGATGATACTTTACTTTTTCAATTATGTTGGAGCGAATGAAACAACGATCACTTACCAAATTGATCAGTCGTGAAAATGAGTCTCCCGAAGAAATTTATGCAAAATTATGAAGTTTATGGTGCTGGAATGTGGTGGACAAAGCCAATGAATCCGCAACATGACTACGCTAGATTCTCCGACACCAGAAGCCATAGAAACTCGGGTTTGAAGTCCTTGACAGCAATCTAGTCCAAGCTCCTATTTTAACTAAATATAAAAAAAAAAACATCTTACCCACTGGAGTATTTAAATTTCTTTACTAAACATTTTTTGACTCTATTTACCTGAGCAATCCTCAGGTAAATTGTGTTCGAATTCGGAACAACATAGCATCGAACGTTTCTTTACAAATTCAAAATGAACAACCCTTCTTGCAGCCTAGATTTGTAGTCCTCAGATTTTTGGTTGCTTTCTACTTTCAAGAGAAATCTGAAAGAAATTTATTTCACTTGTAACGATGTTCAAGCCGCCACGAGGAAATGGTTCCGAGAACCTGAAAATTTCTGCAGAGACGAATTTGAAAATTGGTTAAAAATTGGCGTATCTGAATCGAACACGAAGGTGACTACTTAGAAAAATAGTGTTAATTAAATTAGAAATATTGAATTTAGTTCTTCTTTTGATTTCAGTTTGATATCTTGCCACTCAGCTTGTATATATAGAGGCATTACTTATTGAACGTTCTTCTATATAATTAATTGTAATATATTTTATGATTATACATTTCAATGTATTGTATGTATAGTATAACGTGTATGTTGTTACTTTTAAGATGTAAACAATTCATATTTTATTCATTGCTATTGTGCTTCTATTTTGAGATGATTAATTAATGGGAATGTCTATAGATCAAAATTTTGCCCTCATTGTAAAGAATATTTATATCAATTCATGCGTTAATTCTTACAATTTTTAACATTAAATCGTTCTTGTATTTAGTTTAAAATGACAAATCTGCGTTGAGAATTATTTTTCCCTAATAAGATCGTTTGACTATAATGGTATGATAATTGTATTTTTCGCAAACGATTTCAGTTGTCTAAATTAATGGAATAGCAACGAATATCCAGTTTTATTCTCTGATTGTTATCTGTCTAGCAATCAGGGTTAGTTTCTGGAAAATTAAAAAAAAACTACCACAAAATGGGTGTCGCCTTGACGTGGCTTTGTGGCTTGATATGTGAATATTTTGTCTAACTTCTGAAGATAAAATTTTCCATAAACTAAGAACACCCGACAGAAATTTCGATTTCAAAATAACGTTATCGAAAATTATTTTGTTACTTTCCAAACGCAATACATAAACATTATATGGGTTGACTATACTATGCTTTATTCACAAAAATATAACAACAACATAAATACAGAATCTAGCAAAAATAAAATAACCACTATTTAAAGCTTTAATACTTAATCTTCCCGAGAACTCTCATTAGTAAAAATGTTATCCGATTCCGTGACCACTCTATTGGGAATAGCTCTATGACACTTCTCTAGTTTGAAGTCGGCTCTCTCAACACAGAATTTACACAAATTGCAAGTTACATGGCTTGTATGAACTATATTGTATTGAATGTAGTTATACTATTGAAACTATTTTCATTCCCAAACGCTAAGGAAAATATTTTCTATAGTATAACCAATTAATATTGGCTCCATTCTTATTCTGGAAGAGACCGTTTCTTAGCAATTCTTCGAAAAGAATCGTTTCCATTACCAAGAGAACATTCAATTTTCAACATGGAATATTAAATTGCTGAAAACAATTGCTGAGAAATTTAATATCGTTGTCATTCTTTCTACCTGTTTGCCACTTTTTGCTGTTTCATTCCTTGTTTCTAGTTGTTTGTATTGCATTTTGATGACTAATCTTCAAGAAAATACTTTTGTCGATAAATTCATTCTATTTACAGTATTTATTAACCTACTTAAAATATTTCATTTATTTTTATAATAATCCAAACTTACTAATTAAAATCATAATATATCACTTAACTTGTAAAAATACCTTTATAATCCTTTTCGTATAAACTTTAAATTTTTAAATGTTACACTTTAATTTTATATATATTTTGTAGTGTTGCAACGAATAGTATATTCGGCCTCAGACCGAATACCGAATATTCGGTTTGATTAACGCACGTACGAAAATCGGCGCGCAAACCGCATTATAGCAAGGACCCTGCTCTCTATTGGCCCACTGTCACTATGCTTCTCCAATCGCGTTAATTCTTGATAGTTCAGACAAGAGCGTCATGGCAGTATGTGAGAAGTGATAATATCAAATGTGGATAACAATGAAATGACCTACACGTGTAAATAACGGAAGAAGAACAGAGAAGGACCGAAAAGTGAAAATAAATATGAAATTGAGTTGATAACACAATAAGCTCAACTCAATAAGCTGCCTCGAACAAGTCGTGGCAGCTTATTGGCGCGAAATTCGAGGCCGTGAATGCGAAACAATTGTTGTCATAGACTTCGGAAAGCTAAATGCTTGTAATGAAAGTCACTTAGGTGCACGGGCGAAAGCCTGGGGTCGTTCGGGCTACCAAGCTGTTTCGAATCTGTGAAATCATAACTGTGACTTATAACTACGTCCTATCTGTCTCTTTTCTCCGTTATCACTAGGCTACGAGTCACGTAATTGGAAAATGGGAAATCTACGACAGAAAAGTGACGAATCAAAAGTATCGCGAGGGCGTATTATGATGTATGCATAGCCATACGTGGACTAGAGCGATAGAGGAAAGAGAAAGGGAAGAGCAAAGACGAGCGCTTAAAAAGAAGGATAGGCAGGGTCAGACCTCAGATGTGCGACGATTTTCGAACGAATAAGTGTGTACGTCTGCTGATCTTTGTAATTATAAATTGCGAATACATGTGACTAATATTATTTTCTTTTTTATTTTGTGCATGTTACAAGTTATAAATAAATATAAACAAACAACACTAACCCGATAACATTAAATCTAAATATCAAAATGATTAATTTACTGTGTTTTTGTTATTTCTTACTCCTGTTTTTAGTTATTCGATATTCGGCCGAATAGTGATTAAATATTCGGTACTCGGACGAATAGCGAAAAATTAGGCCCAATACCGAATAGTAACCGAATATTCGTTACATCACTAATATTTTGTGATATGTGACATCAGGTGATCCATATTTACCGAGTTTATCAATCAGTAGATAAGTAGATCAATTAGAGTCAACTTTGAGGAAAACATATATGACAGAAATTGGATTTTTTTATTTTTAATAAATGTTGAGCTCACTGCTGATTCAAAGAATTTAAAAAATCCCCTTGTTGAATTGTACACAAAAAATTATGTTTTAAATGTCATATTGTATATAAAGACAACAAAAACAGGCCAAAAGAAATCACTATATAATCTATTTATATTATAAATATAATCAAATTATTTTCTCACAGTTAAATTTTCTAAATTATATTTTACAAAACAAATTCAATATACTTAAAATACATTTAAAATTACATTAATTAAAAAAAATTGATGTAACCAGCTTGAAAAGTAGAGCTCAGCAAAAACATAATTATTGTGTATATAGTGTTTAATCTTTTATAAATTGTCAATTAATTAAAATGAAAATTATTATTAATTATATGAATGTTCCAATTCTATAAACACATCTTAACATTCCAGCAAAATGAGAACTGGTAAATAAAGACATTTTACTGGAATATCAAGATGTATTTCTCTATAGAAATCTTCATTCCAGTTTTGATTTATATCCATTGATACTCCAATTTAAAATTAAAAAAAATTAGGATTGAAATATTTATTTTATAAATAATTACTACATTTAGATTATCATAATTTGTAACTTCCTAACAATTTTGAAATCATTAATTTATGTCAAATGTTTAAAGCAATTAAAATTAAGTAAAATCATTTTTTTGTTTTCATTAATTTCAAACTTATGAAAAAAACCGTGAACATTTAAATTTGTGAATTTGCTTTTGATTATTTATGCATTTGTAATAATTGTAAGTACAAAAAATGGACTATAACTAGTTAAACAATTATTTTTTTTATTGCATGTAGTAAAAAAATACACCACTGTAGTTACATCTTATAAAATTTTGAGGTGATCTGTAAAAAGAGTTCATGTAAATTTTAATTATTATAAAATGAAAAATATGCAACATACCTTGCCTACATCTTTTTCTTTTCTTATAAATCAAGACAATGCTTCCTATGACAGATAGCACCACTAAAATAGTGACAGCACACAAGAGAACACCGACCGTAGATCCCAGCTGGTGTTGCATGTTTCTGCTTCCTTCTGTCTCCTATACTTCTTAACACCGCTTCTGGGTCAAAGTACTGGATGTGTGACGTCGTCTTTCTTCCACCTGGCCAGGTGACCCACTGAACAGCTGGCGAGTTTTAAATGACCTTCGTCTGACAAAGAAATTTAAAAATATTGGGTAAATCATCGGATCAGATTATGTTCGACTCAATTAAAAAAAAAAATACTAAAAAATTTTCAAGAAAAATAAAATTACGTGATGCGTGAATGAGAATTACACAGTTTATAGCATTATTGTTTCAAGAAAAACAAATGTGATACTTATACGAATTTTATTAATTTACCGGCAATTTAATTTATTTAATAACTTGTAATTTTTATATATAATTTTTTCTATATCTACACTTTAAAGTAATTTATATAGAATTGACTTTACTTACTTTTAAATTACTGTATTTAAATAATCCTAATTTGAAGTTTTTTAAGCCATACATTCATACATTAAGTTAAATTTATGAATTAGAAGTATATACAGCAAAAGATATACTTAACAGTCTGAAAGCAGGGACGTAGAGTGCTTATATGGGACCGGGAACAGAGCGGGCCCCTTCTGCTCCTTAGCGAACCCCTTTTGCCTTTTTTCCCCCTTGAACAAATGAAATATGTAGAATAGAACGTTTCTTTATGAATAAAAAAAAAGAGCCTTGAAGATTTTATTTTCTGTTATTTTTACAATAACATTAATTATATATGGGTAGAAACCACTAGGGGCCCCTAAGTTTTTTCCAGACTAAGGAAAAAAATCTCAACCTTCTCTCGACGGCCTGCTTACAAGTAGATTATTTACATTAAAGTGACATAAACTGTTTGTTATATAATATTTTATCTAAATATTTATTATATATAGATTAAACATTACTCAGCAATTTCTCAGTAAATTTAATTATACTAGTATATGATGTAAATGCATTAACATAATTACTTTGCTGATGTGAAGTATGTAACTTGATAACAAATTTTTTTTTCAACTGAAACTGCAGTTCAGTTACTTACAAAATGAACAGTTAGTAGAGCTTATAGATCAGATCAGTGTTTAAATCTTTATTTGATATCCAAGCTTACATTAAATAATCAAAACGATTTTTTAAGAATGAAATAATGTAGTTGACCTTGTATATAGCAGTTGTCCATTCTACTTTATGTTCAAGTACCGAAAATGTCGTGTTGATAAACTGGTTTGACATCTAACCACCTGGCTCCGGTTCCAATTACGTAGTACGAGTACTAAAAAGAACTTGTATGATGCTGATCAATCTCATTACTGATATTCTATATTAAAAATATGTCGTTCTAAATGTATATAAGTACTTTCCTTTAAAATTCGAGTCAATGATTCACAATTTTGATAACTTTAAATGACATATTTAACTTATATTTTAAGTTAAATATGTGAATCGCTCGTATACAAGGTTATAAGCGAAATCAACAGTACAATAAGAAAGTGTTTATTCAGGAATTAATAACCTTTTATCAGATTATCAATTTAGCAAGTGAAATTGGTGTTTACTTACTTCCTTATCTCCTTTTTTAACAGATCAGATTTTAACATTCTGATAACAAAAAAAAAAAATACGCCCGGTTAATTTAGACATTTCGTGATTTTGTGAGATCATATCAGTAATATTATGAGCCGGATAAGAAAATGTTATTTACTACTAGAATGTATAAGTGAATACCCGAGTGTCATACTAAATTACAATCTCAGAGCAATGCACTATAGTCTATAAAGACTATTTTCGTCTACAGTTTGACTGTTTATTGTACAATACACATAATTTATATCTTGATTTTAATTCAAATTTAGGTTATTTGAGATAATTAACGAAGAAAATAAACGATACGAGAGTCTAAAAAATCGGTTTTCTTATTGTTTATGCCACATTACATCCCCCTGCGGATGTATTATAAGTTCTTTTCTACAACTTCCCGGATATTGAAACAAGGTAGTGAACCCCTGAAAGTGAATATCCTGTAGATTTTCAAATAATGTAAAATTTTGAAAAGTCGAAGGAACAAATTTTTGACATTCGATATATGTATTTAAAAATATGTATATGAATTAATTAATATAGTAATTTCTTCATGAGTTAGAAAGCTACATTAAATCGTTAAAATACTCGTACATTCTAATTAAACTCTATTGATTAACAGGATAGCAATAAAGTGTAAACAATTTATAAGATTTTTAAATAAATTGCGATCAATTCCAAGATGGCGACTAATGTTTCTCTTCAAGAAAAATCTTTATCTAAAGATTTGTTTTAAATCAGAACTCGTTAACTTGTTACAGGTCTCACACATATTAGAACTTCAAAATTTAAGTATCAAATTGGAAACTTTCAGTTGCTATTTCATTACCTAAATGCATTTTTGATAGACAAATTGGCCATATAGTTTTTAACATGTTACTTGAACTACCCTTTTTTTCCCCCTAAGCATATTCTTTGCTCTCTTTCATTCTCCATACAAATTTTAATTCATACACAACATATTCTATAGACATACACTTCCATAATTTATGGCCGTTTGAAGTCATTAAAACAATCTCTGATAACTTTTTTTTTAAGTCTTCGGCTATTGTAAGACGGAATTGAGAAATCCCTTTCGTAATTGTCTACTCAAAACTTAATTGCCATTTGTTATTAACTTGATTTCCGAGAAGTATATTATACGTCTATACTAGTTATACCTACGTCTGTTATGTGTCTACTGGATTATTCGTTGAGACATTCTATAACTGGAAGATCCAGGAAACAATCTCAAACTTATGATCACTGATCATTCATTATATTTCAATGTGAAATGCTCGCTATATTATTTCAGCGTGTCGTTGTAATTTAACGATATAAACACATAAAAAGTTTTAGTTTAATATAGGAAATATATCGAACTACTGTATTTTAATTGTTGATAAACCATACTTCAACAAAAAAGAAGTGAAATAAATCTGTACTTGAAATCGGAGTCAGAGTTTAGGAACAGCATCTTGGGATTCGTACTTTCTTATTTAGTTTATGTTTAGAGCAAATCGTTTTGCACTTGTGAAGTTTCTATGTTGAAGACATTCATGGTAAAACTCATACTTTAATTAAATTATTAGTATCATTTGAACCTACTTAATGATATTTAAAACTGTAATAAAATAAATTTTATCAATTGAAAAGAAAATGTTTTGACTTTTACATATGATGAAAGGTAAACGTTGTACCAATTCATGAAAATGTTAAAAACTAATTGACTTTCGTTAACAAAAATACATTTGTTAGTAATCTTTATTACTAACGAATTTGAATGATTTTATTTATTCAATTTTTATCGAGATTTTTTATTTTTCCTCATACTTTTGAAGCTCTTATTTTATAATAAGAAGATAACGAAATAATATTTATTCTAGATATATTTGCTTATAATTTTATAAACATAATTATACAGAATGATTCAGATACCTGAAGCGATGCATGCGCAAACATAATATGAAACTTACTAGAATGCGTTCTACACAAGTGGAAGAAATGCATTTATACGAACATTCAATTGAATGGCATCCACATGGATTTTTTCCATCTCTCTTACCTCCCTGTGGGAACTAAGGTCTTTCTCCCATACTCAGCGTGGGTTCTTTCAGACCCATAATAAGCCAACGGAATGGTGAGAGACGAGAACCGACATATCGAGGCAAACCGCTCATAAAAAAAATTGGTATTCGATCCCGGGTTCCTCAGAGCGGTAGACTGACGCCTTTACTTCCAGGATCATGCTCCTGGTCATATGCAAAAGGAAGACTTCATTTTGACTTTAAGAAATGTTTCTCCCTCTATTCAAACACACCCGAAGTCATCTTTTTTTAGAACAATTTGTCTTCCAAAAATAAATTCTCGTGTATTAAACCTATATGTATTGAGTCTCTGCATTGAAATGTTGTTTATAAGTGAAAACTTTATATTTATCGTTTATCTATTACTTAAAATTGATAGTTGGTAGGTTTATTTTATTAAAATTATATTTTTTAATGAAAGCCTAATATTGAATACTTGGAATATTACCAATTTATTTTCGTCAAATATTTTTGTATCATACTAAATTTTTTATTAATTATTTTTAATTGTTATTAATTCATTTTTAAAAATTTGTTGTTAAAATTTTATTTACGTTATAATTGAATGTTACTAACCAGGATGATGTTAACACCAGGAAGATGTACTGTACGACTTGAATGTTTACTAACTTATTACTATACAATTTGGTTTTCACGACTTCCAGTGTCACAAGAATCCCCAATATTCACTAATCTTTTTAAAGTTTAAGTGAATTATTGCATATCAAGTAAGCTGAACACATGAAGTAAATCAGTTAGGGTGCCAGCTTCAATTTAATGACTGAAAATCACTTTCTAGAAGATCACTCTACAAGATTATCTACAATTGGTATCGATACGTTTAGTTTATCCCTCATTTCTGTCGATAATCTGGTGAGTATTTATGTTTTTAAATGTATTTATATGCTAATATAAACTTAATATGGCTTAGAGTAGTGTTTTAGTGTTTGCTACTTAAAATGTACTATTAAACTGGTTGTTGGTAATGAATACTGCGTATTAAGATAAAATACGGCATTAGGGCTTTAAAACAATAAAATTATCCTGAAAAAGTAGATTAATTTCGAAAATTGCTCCTTATATCTTATCTTAAAAAACGGTCTAGTTCATCTGATTCGAAAACTGTGTTGATTGTTATTAAAATTGTTATTTCTAGATAACGGAAATCGAATTAGTTAAATGTTCTAGAACTCGCTATATTCTAGAAATTATCTATAAGATTATAGTATAAATTACTAGACTTTTCATGTATGGCTTTGATGACACTGCAAGATATTCGATTTCGTAGATAAGAGTATAAAATAGCAATGAAATTCTGAAAGCACTTGCATTTAGTTAGTCAAAATTCAAATTTATCAAAATTACAAATGATTATATAATGCCTAATTGGTAAGTTGATACAATAACAAAGTAATTCATTTAACTATCAGTTTATTAAAAATAAAAAATATCTTTTGTAGAATCTTATTTGGGGATGTTACTTGTGGATAATTAAAAAAATATGATAAAAACTTCAGCCCGGCATTGTGACGATGTCACAATAAATAACTGTTCGTAATATTTTTTTATTCAAACTTGCGCAGCATTTGTCTTTTCATGTAGGAAAGATATCTTGCACAGATTTCTGTGACTTTAATATTGACATTCAATTATTATTTGATTCAATGTCATTCATTTTCTACACTTAGCCTACGTTTTTAATTGTGTCGTTTACCATCGAAAATTTTTTAAATCTTTAACAAAATCAATATTTATGCAAACAAACTTGTAGGTGATGCAATTTTGCTTGTGTGATGCAACCTATTATAGTCATTACAACATAATGCTAACGGTGTCA